TCCACAGCAGGACTCTCCTAAGGCTGAGAGATTTGTTTATTTGTGCAGACCTGGTGGCTCAAATCTGACCGAGTCATTTGACCCTCCCTCCTCCTTCCAGCCCCCCCAGCAAGTAATGCATGAAGTTAGGAGTGGAGTGGAGTGGAATAAAAGGGGATGGGTGGTAGGAGAGGACAGAGCAGTCTAGGGGCTCATAAACCAGCTAGCTCAGTCCTGAGAGATGCCTAGCTGTAAAACCCACCTAGGATCTGGGCAGCTCACCTGTGCTGTGTGCTATGCTCCTGCAAATGCATTGCTAGCAGCACCAAGCTGGCTAGTTCAAAGGTAGCTCAGGGTGTCTACACGAGCTGCAGTGATTGCAGAGCAAACATATGCACAGTGCACAGGAGGGAGCAGGTATTACATAGCACCCTTTACTTAGCTATGGTAGCATCTCCCCTGCAAACCAGTGTGATGACTGAGGTAATAGCTGTGAACTACAAGGAGCAAGTTCCCTTTATTTAAAAAAAAGCACAAATCCCACCTAGGCAATTCAATGACAGAAACCTGCACTGCAGGATTTAGGCATCTCAGGCCCTTTCTGAATACTGAATAGGGTTACATTCAGAGGTCTGAAAACAAAGTGCAGGGTTAAGATGAACCTGAACCCTGACCTCTGAGCAACACAGCCAAGGTCTGTTGGTAGCAACATGTTGGTGCTGTGGTGCTATGTTGCTCTTAGGTGGCTGTTGCTGTAACAGTGTCATCTGAATAGAGAGCACAAGAAACGTTCTCTGGGGAATGGTGGTGGTAATAGGTGGTTGCTCTTACCAGGTTTGGCTGCAGAAAAATGCCGGCTGTATTCCCGAACTCCCAAGACGGAAATACTCTGCCTTTGACCTATGCAGAAGAGAAGTCGCGTCCATGCCAAACATTTCCCTTCCTCACTTGAAAGGACGAGTGTTACATTTTACATTCCTTTCTCCCTTGTGCACATTGCCATGTAATGCTGTATTTTCACTTAGCAGCTTAGCCTGAGAGACCACACTTATCTCCCTCCAAATGCTAACAGTGCAGAGGAGAAGAGGACCCTAGTGCCCCGCTACTGATAAGAATATACACGATACAGTGTTGGGAGGAAGTAGCCTGGAGGACCTACATCTTTCCTTTGGGAAAGCCCCTCCCCGGGCTACAGAGCCCAGGCAGTGTCATCACAATCACAGCTCTACTAACATGATCAACCTCGTGTACTGGGATTGACTGTTGCCAGTCCCAGGAGCAGAGTTAATGCTGTGTGGGCGTGTCACAGGCCTTTACTCTGTATGCAGCTCCACCAGCATCAAGGTCAGGGCTCAGCTGCTTACCCCAGGGCTGCATGAGCCCACAGTTGTTGCTTTCCCCAGGGGAAATGCATGACTGTCTTTGAGTGGCTTGGTTTGCTAAAGGAGTAAGAGACTTATGGTAGCTGAACTCTACCAAACCTCCTCCTCAAAAGCCCAATCATACAGCACTGAAGGTAGACACGTAACTGAAATTAGCCATTAATGAGGTCTCCAGTTAACTTAATACACTACATTATAAATGTAAATAAATGCCCTTGGTACTCAAGAAGCTAACATTTAAAAATAAGTAAATCCAGCAGCAAAGAAAGGCCTGTTGCTTTCAAGGATGGGATGAAGACGTAGGATCCGTTTGAGCCTTAGCATTTTCTGGTTCAGCACAGCAAGGTAAGTGGAGAGATGTAAGATGCAGACAGTAAATGTCTATTGACTTTGTTTGTAGGTGTTTGGAGTAACAGAGAAATCACTTTTTTCTCTTGGATCCATGTGCAATACCAGGCTAAACATAATGGGGAAAGATTATTAACTTTATTGCTGGCAGACCACACGGGCCTCTGCAGCAGATGGTTGTAGAACAGCTGTTCAAATGAACTGGGAGCCACACACTGCACATGGCTAGTCGCACTGGCAGAGGTATCCCAACTGGGCCTGGGATATTGCACAGGAAGAAGCTACATTAATTTGAATATCTAGGCTATAATATACCTCCTGGTACAAGGGAGCTGATTTTTTGTTTTATGTATGGTTTTTAAGTAAAGTATGATTTTTTTTTTTTTAAAGTAAATATGGTCTTTAACTCAATACAGGAGTCAGAAACTTAGCTCATATTTACTATATCAGCCACAAATGTGTGAAACCACTAACCCTAAAAACTTAATTTTTTTTTTATTTACTAGTTCTAACGCCATTGCCTTGCTAAGCAGTCACACATGGTTTGTTCTTTTCCTCCTACCCCCGGGGGAGACTGCAAAATAGTGGATTTTGGTGGGGCTTTGTGTGGCAAGGTCACAGAAATACAGTATACCCCTACTACAGAGTGGTGGTGGGGTCTTGTAGGAGTTTGTGCTATGATCCAAGAAACGTGTCCTACTCCCCAACTTCAGCCTTATGGTAGTGTTCATGTGGAGCGGAGTTCCTGACTTGGAGGTTCAGGTGATCTTTAGAGGTGCTCAGTGGCATTGGCTGTGGAGGGTGTGGCAGTTCACCCGTGAGGTGCTTGCCACTTGAAGGGCTTGTGCAAGCTGCAGATGAGCCTGTGGGTGTGAGCAGCAGAGGGACATCCCTTCTCCTTGGAAGGATTTTGAGGGGGAATGTGTGTGGCAGTGCACCTTTGGGGTGCTTGCCAGTTTAAGGGCCCAAGCAGGCAGCAGCGCAGCCTGAAGGTGACTGCAGACCTAATTAGGCAATTGCATGACAGCCAGGAAGTTGCCTGATTGGAGGAGTGCCTGGCTGCATGAGTATATGGGTTGAAGTAAACACACTGATGGGAAGAAACTGAATCCAGGCAGACCTAGACAGTTTAGAGAAGAGGGCAGAGAACAATAGGATGCAGTTCAACAAGGACAAGTGCAAGGTGCCGCACCTAGGGAGAAGGAATCACCAGCATGTCTACAGACTTCTCAGCAGCACAGTGGTGGAAGGAGATCTGGGAGTCATTGTCGACTCCCAAGATGAATGAGTATCAATGTGACAAAGCAATTAGCGGAGCTAACTGCACTTTGTCATGCATTAGTAGGTGCATCACGAGCAGGTCCAGGGGGGTGATATTTCCCCTTTGTGGCACTGGTCAGGCCACAGTTGGAGTACTGCGTCCAATTCTGGGCGCTGCAATTCAAGAGGGTGCGGACAACCTTGAGAGGGTTCACAGGAGGGCAACTTGCATGGTCAGACACCTGCAGGGAAATCCCTATGAGGAAAAGCTGAGGGACCTGGACCTTTTCAGCCTCCGCAAGAGAAGGCTGAGAGGGGGTCTTGTGGCAGTATACAAGTTCACTGGGGGGTGTGGGCAGCAGGGAATAGGATTTACCAGAGCACCCCTTATGATAACCAGGAACAATGGCCACAAGCTGATGGAGAGTAGATTTAGGCTGGACATTAGAAAGAACTTCTTCACAGTCAGGGTTGCCAGAATCCAGAATGGGCTGCCAAGAGAGGTGGTACTATCACCGAACTTGGAGGTCTTCAAGAGGAGGCTTGATAGACGACCCCAGCCAGGTGTCTGACCTTGGTCCTCTTTCCTGCCTAGGGCAGGGGGTTGGACTTGATGACCCAATTGAGGTCCCTTCCGACCCTGGCATCTGTGAATCTGTAAGAGCAGGCCCTGAGGAGTAAGGCCAACAGTTGCTGCAGGGACACTGCTGAAGTAACATCTCCCGGCCGGCATACTGCTGCTCCCAGGAATGTTGTGGAGGCTAAGAGTAGGAAGTACAGGGATGGAGAAGGTTCCTAGGGACCCAGTGGGGTCCCAAGCCCCGAGGAAATGGCTATGGGCCTCAGGAGAGCTAGGCCAGCCTAGAGAAGGGGCTTAGAGTGGGGGGCCTACTGAGGGGCTAGACAAGTCCCTGATCAGAACTGGCCCTGACTGAGGCCAGGGGCTCAGACGAGCCCAGTGGAGTCGAGGGCTGCCAGACAGAAGATCTCTGGGGCACTAGGCAGGTCTGATGGGAGCTGATGGCTGTAAAGTGGGGCCAAGGGGGGGACCCCTGCTGAGTAGGGAGGTCAGCTGCTGCTACACCAATCCTCAGACTCTCAACTGGTCAATGCAAGACAGCTGGGGCTGACAGGCCGAAGGGCATGGAAACCCACCGCAAGGGGCAGGCCAGGGTTGCAGAGAGCTCCTGGCACCCCAGCTGGCCTAGAGGTGAGGCCAGAGCCTAGAAGAGGCTGAAGGCCCCCTTGGTGGGGAACACGTCACTGCTGAGAGAGGAGAGGTCAGCCAGCAAGCAGGCTGGTATGGAGGCTGTAGCCCAGGTTCCTGACGGGAGGTATCCTGCAAGGAGCCTATGACAGTGATGGGACTAGCAGATGACACACAGATTATGAGACAGAAGCTGTGACAGAGTGCCCGGGAGAGAGCAGGTAGGCCTGCATGGGTCCTGGGGAATGACCTAAAACTATGCCCTGCTGGGGAGGATGGTGTGGTGGGGCTGCTTGTGGCAGGGCAGACCTCAGGGAATGGCGAGTATGGGGTGCCGGAAAGCCTTAGCCCCACTACCTTGCAAGTGACCCCGTGGAGGCGAAAGGCTAAGGGAGCATACCCCGACAGAAAAGCAACAGGCTTGGGCAGTGATGTGGAGGCTAGCAGGGCCAAAGGTTCAAAGCCTGAGAGAAAAAGAGGCTTGGGCAATAACATGGAGGCCAGGAGGGTTTGGGTGAAAGCACAACTGACACCAGCTAAAGCTCAAATACAAAACATGTAATTGAGGGGTTTTTTCAGCAAAATAACTCCAGCTGCATCCAATCACATTTGCACTAACAGCTCCTCTGATAGCCTGTTTAAAACAAAAATTAAGCTGAATCCAGCACCTTTGTTTGCTGTAATAAAACATCACTTTGTACCTGCATCTAAGGATGTACATGCAATATGCTGACATTGCCCTTGCTGTGGATTTTAACTAATAAGGAACAAGTAACTCTTATGCCAAAACAGTTTTAAAATGAGAATAAAGTACATCATCCATCTGTATCATAAGGTCTTTTTTTTTTTATTAAGGGTCCATATAAACCCCCAAAACAAACCTCATACATGTTAAAACTCAAGATAAATATAGCTGAACACTTATCAATTGTTTCTATTACTTAGGTTCCAGGTATAATATAAATACTTAAGGCTGTATCTGGCAGTAAAAATTTTGAGCTAGTATAAAAGCCTCATTTTTCCCATACAGATGATCAGTAGCACTGTATCAAAGAGTGATCCCAGAAAATATAACATTTTGGCCTTCTCTTATGACTACAGTTCCTTATGGCTGCTCGTATTTGCATAAACAAGCATTCTGTTTCAAAACACTGAGAGTGGTTTTAAAAAAACAAAAAGCAAAAACATTTTAAGCTATCATCTTTAAGAGTGGACTTTTTCAGTAATTTAATACAGTAGTAGTTATTTCAATACCCAGCATTCCTCTTCACAACCACAACTGCTGGGTCATTCCACAGTGCAGGCACTACAATGCAGTGGAAAATTATTTGCATATTAAACCTGTTATTAATGTGATAAACCTTACAAGGAATCTGTATTATACACCATATGTAGTTCAAAGGGAACTTCCAGTCCTGGGAGGTAGTGATGCAGAGTTGCAAATTGCTTTAAAATGGCTCTCTGGTTTTGTTCTTGCCTTTCAATTCCTGGATTATCTTCTTGCTGGTGGTGTCAATTTTAGTTAATTTTATTATTAAAACCCTTTTGCACTATCTTTTCTATACACTCTGGAGCCGTAAAGTTTAAAGTAGGAGGGATGTTGTGATCCTGGATTTAGCTCCCCACAGGCTCAAGGGTTTGGAGTCTCCACAGATGAGCTGCGGTCTCTTGTTAATCCATAGGAACGCATTCTACAGTGTAGCCTCACTTTTAAAAACAAATCTACACAGCCTCTGGAGAAAAGCAACAGGACTATTTGATATAATACTCAGGAGATTTTGGATAATTACAGGAATAACGATCCTATACACCCTTTCCTATTGCTGAGGAAAGGCAGAGTCACCTAAAAAGTGCAAATTGACCAAGGCACAAGCTGTGCTGAGCTGGTTAACTGTCCCATTCTCTACTGTTCTGATCACCATTTTCATCCTCTTCAGAGTCAGCAGACACTTTCTTAATTCTCTGGATGGCTGCCTTTATGCTTCTTTCAAATTCATTGCTGGATTCTCTGACAACTTTCTCTGGATCTCGATTCACTTTCCTTAGCTTAACTCCTTGTCTTATGGCTAAGAGGATGCTGTCTTTTATTGATGTATCTGAAGGTGATGAATTAGGCTTTTCCACTCTTCGAAGAAAAACTTCACCATGTCTCAGTGAAGCCAAAACCTTATCCATGGTTCCTACGGCAGATCAAACCAAGTTATTGTTCTCAAAAGAGAGGTCAGCAATACCTACATTATTTAATTATAAAACCCTATAAGGATGCTTGGGATAGTTCCCTTCGTCTTGTAGAGATTTAAGTATTGTCTGTCTGGACCCAGATTCTCACATTTTTCCCAAGCTAGTAGTCCCAATATCTGGAACTGGGCCCCTCAAGCTGAGAATCCAGCCCTCTCTGTCATTGCACAAGTTCATGTACTGGAGAATTAATTATATGCAAAGGAGGACACATTTCTCTGTCACTGCAGTTTTTTGAAAATATGTAAAGCAGTTACTGAACCAAAAACCTTAGCTTGTGTCCACTATTAGACACACTAGCATTTTCCTTAGCTTGCTCAGATGCCTGCTGCCACTGTCAACTGCATTTTTGTTCAACTAAGGGAAAAACGAAGAGGTGGAAACTTGTGGTATGACAGCATGATACTGAACCACTGAAATCAGTGGGAGTAATGCAACTGGCTTCAGTGAGAGCTGGATCAGACCCCTAACCAGGCTGGCAGCTCTCGTCTCAGTTCAGTTTGAACATAAATTGTGTGGTAAGATCTGAATTAAATGTTCAGTGTATGTTTCTGAATTTCAGAGCCCCCAGCATGCCAAGACCAGGCTGCATGAGCTACTCTTTCTTTTATACCCTGGCACCAGGCTCAGGCTACTTTGCTGGAGTCTTTGTTGATATCCTCAGATTCTCTCAGAAAAGGAAAGGAGGTCACCACACAAAGCAATGAAAAAAAGCCATCTCTCTACATCAACAGGTCCAAGCTGTCAGCTGAACTGTCTGCTTTCAAGGGTTTTTTTTTATGTGCAGTACAGGGAAGGTTGTGTGATGAATTCTTCACATGCCATACTGAGAATGTAATACTATGCTGAATTCGGCAGTACTTTGGGAGAGATCTGCAAATGCCAGGTAAGGATGGAACAAAGGCCCACAAACTAATTGCACTAATTAGCTTTCTACAGATGAAGATGAGCTGCTGGTCATGGGCCACTGAGATTAACAGATAATGAGAGGAGCGCTTATTTGTAATACTTTAGAGCTAATCTTCTGCATTCAAATCTCTGTATGCTAGTTACCAAAATTTTGAATATAGCATATAAATACCTTTCCAGACTACAAATCCATGCGCAAACGTGTCTAATGCACAAGGATTTTGCATGGCTAAGTGTAACCTTCTAAGCAGATGGCTTTCCACTGGTGAAAAGGTCCAGGTGTTCATGTCGGAACTGTTCCTGCAATTAATAGCTGGCTTTTCTCTCCTAAAACAGAACAAACAAACCCCACCCCTGAACTGCAAATTTCCTGCACTTTAATTTTTGAAAACATCAAAAGTGACAGTTCCAAGAGGTTAGGACTTGGAATACAACAGATTTTGTACACGCAGAAATAATGGATGAATGTTATGAACAGCTCAAATTACCAGCACTAGCAAAGTTTATAAGAGACTTAACTCCCAGTCCTGTGTGCTTGGTCTGGCTGAATCACACTTATCTATGTACACAATTTTTGCCACATGGACCTTGCTGATTTGGAGGCTTCCCTATTGTCTCAGCAGTTCAGATTTGCTTCCATTTCACAGCCCCTCTGATGAATTAAAGTGAACTTTTTAGGCAGTCCTGCCTGTGGTGACTTTCCTAACTGGGTTGTTACAAAGGCTGGCTAGCTGTAGCATGAATATTATGACAAAGAGAAAGAAAGGAGTGTACACGTTTCAAGGGAATCACTTTGCTCAAAGAGCAGCTCTCCTGTGAAGAGTGGCAATGTAAAGTTGCTGCCTTCCTACTTAAAAATGACCTCCCCGCATGTTTTGTGAATATCTGCTCACTTGAGTGACAAGCCTGTTAGCAGGAAGTAGCCAATACAATTATGGGAGATTGCTGCGTTCTGTTCCCATTCAGTATCTGAATTGCTGAATTCCAACTGCAAAAGTCAACCTCAGCTTGTACCTTAACAACTCCCAAGCAGAGAACAATGCTATCTCATGGGGCATACTGTTCTTGTGATCAATGAGCACTGCAGAATGAAAGCCAGCAACTTGACTAAGTGCACTTACAGAAGCTCTGCCCAGGATCTGAAAGTAGGTCTTACTTGGAAACTGAGCCAATTTAATCTGGGCAAACCGATAAGGAATTTCCACGATTCTTGAGTTGAGCAGGAGTGTAAAGGATGCAGCCTGAGGAGCCCTATCACTTGGTCATGCTACTCACGAGTCTTGAAGCAGTCTCATGCACAGCACGCAGGGCTGGATCCAGAGCACACACTGTGCACAAAGCACAATGATACTCTACAGGTACAGACCAGATCTTCACTACTCTTCTGGCCCAGAGGGCCTGATGAGTTTGATACCCCTGGTTTAGAGCATTAAACTGTACTGTCACTTGTTATACTCTGTAAACACTAAACTGTGGGATTTGTAGGAATGCAAAACTGTCCGCTGTAGTAACTTGCACGAGAACACCATTCATCTCAAACAGCACACCTATTTCAAAGATATCTATGGCAAGGTTTTTTGGGCGGTGGGGGGTCCCTCTTACTGCAGACCATACATGTATGCTACAAAAGCCTAACTGTTAATCCAGGATTCATCCTGCAGTCAATAGGAGAGCAGGGATCACAAGCAGTGCAAGAGCCATATAAAATACAGTGCTGGCATGAGAATCATTTAGTTTTTAAATGCTGCTTTTAATTATGATGCCCCTCGAGCAGGAGTGTTGTACAGTCATTTGCATGTGAGAAACCAAATGGATTCTAGTCCAGGCACAGAGGTCAAAACTTTCCTGTAACTAGTAACACTGGGCATCCAACCTGACAGAAAATGCTGTGCTGCCCAGAAGGTCCCTCCAAGGAGTCTCGAACTGGGCTCCCCAAAATCCCTGGTTGCTCCTAAGTCTTGACTTATGGTCAGTGCTAATAGCATCTGGTCTCTAGAAGCTGGGTTAAAGGCTTTCCCAAGTCAAGAGAAGAAACTCTGTACTTCTTGTCCTTAGGGCTGCAGCTACACTGTTTACCTCTACAGCCAGAGGAAGAAAAAGATTAGTCAACACAAGTGCGTTTACCTGTGCAGTCATTTACAGAACACTTGGGTGAGTCAGCTCGTCTCTGTGTTGCAGCACGTGCTGTGGAGTCTTCACAGATGAGGGGAAGTGGCTGCTCTTTGATGGTTGCTGGTGCCGTTAAATGCAGTGGCAGAGGAGGTGGGGGAGGAGGTGGCGGTGGTGGAGGCATCATCATCAGTCCTTTGCTGTACTTTGAATCTTCAGTGAAATCAAAAACCTGCACAGGGGTATCTGCTGGGATATTCTGACATGGCATTTTTAAACCACTGCCTGGTGCTAGCTGGGTGCTGCTTGACTGCTGTGGGGCTAAACTGATTATTGACATAGGCTGAGGGGACAGCGCTGGAGTCTCATGGAAAACACCTTGCGGGTGCTTGGTGTTGTGAAGCTGTGAAGGAGGCGTTTTCAGCACAAGCTGAGCTGGACACTTCTGAAAACAAAAAGTAGCCAGATGATGTCTCCATCTTGCTGGTAAAAAAAAAATACAGGCAGAGACAGGAATTGTGGAGCAAAGACCCTCTGCTACTTGCTTGCTCAAGTGAGAGAAACAACACTGCAGTAATTGAAGGGATTCTCAGAGGGATTTTCAGAACCCTTTACCCTATGCTCTCTACTGAAATCTGTTTGGTTAGTGGGGGTTTTTTTCCATCAGTTCATTGCATACAAATGCTGTTTTAATAATGAAGGGCTGCTCACGAGCAGAAGGCTCCAAGCATTTATTTTAGACAAAAGGGGCATTTACTGAAGCACTTATTGAGGAGTGAAGGTAGAATTAAACAGGCAGCATGAACAGATAACAGTTCAGGCATGTTCTGCGTATTCTGATCTGTTTGCAAGTATTCCTTTAATTGTGCTTTAGCATAAAGCTAATTAGAAAAATCCCACTCCTGGTTTTTCTCTAGCCTGTTCCTTATCCATACTGTGTCAGAGCACAAAGAGGTAAAATGGATGCACAGGTTAACATCAGATACCCAGTAAACCCATGTAATAGAAAAACTGTCTTCTACTTGTTATGCTTTGGTGAGTGTTGCTGTCATTCAAGTAAGCCTGCAGATAGGACAGTCATCAGAGTGGGTCTTGCAGCTTTGCCTTGCTGATCTTGAGGCCTTTAGGAAGCTATTGATTACCACAGGTTCTCTGCCACTCCTCTCTCAACCTCTTGCTAAATTATACAAATGAACTAAAACACCCCACTCCCATATCCATTCTTCCCTCTTGAAAGAAAATTACAAAAGCAGAAGTGCACAGCTGCAGGGCGCTTTAAAAGTGCCCAATTGCAAGACCAATTAACCCTTATTTAATGAAGGTTCAGATGAAGGTGCCCCAAAGCAAAGCACCTTCACTAGCTTCTGTTTGTCCCTGCCTGCGATCAGGGCTGAGCTAATGCAACCCACCCATATCCCCGGTACCTTCTGCAGGATGGGAGGCGGGGAGGGGAGAGACCTCTGATCTGGGGTTTGGTGGGGGGCTCCAATCCACCCGCCCCCATCTCCAGCACAGGCTGGGCAAACCCCAAATCAGAGCTCCCTCCCCTCCTACCTCCCATCCTGCAGTCAGCACCAGAGTTAAGAGGCAGTGGGGAGCAGGGCTAGGGGCAACTCCAAAGTGGAGCTCAATTTCCCTGCTGCCCTCCCCGCCAAACAGAGAATGTCTGTTGGATGGGGTGGGGGGGATTGCTGTAACTCGTGGCGCTTCACAGAAAGTGCCACGAGTTACAGCAGGGAGCTGCACATCTGTCAGCACCCTTAATGTCAGCGTAACAAACCCAAGGGCTTGTACTTTGCTATTTAAAAAAAAAAAGCAGAAAAACTTAAGAAAGGCAAGACTTCTATTATACACAGTATAAAGGTCCTAACCTGGCCTCCCACTGGTAGTGTAAAGGACTGTCTGCTTTTAAAACCTAGTCCAAATGTTAAAAATAGACTGCAGAAATAGGAATGACCTTTTCTTTTCTTTTTTTTGCTAAACTTCAGGCAACCATATGTCAGATTGTAGTGCAGTGACACGGTTCCGTATGGTAGGGAAACAGGGTGAGATTTCAGAGTCTTGTATGTGAGAACAAACTCTTGACTTTTTTTTTTTTTTTACTCACGTACTCACACATTAGTTTAACACTTGACATCACTAAACCTGGATGATGATGGATCCACTCTTAATAATTTCCCTCTTGAAGCTCACTGCCAAATTCTTCCCATTTCTAACCATTACTTAATCCACTGCCCTGATGTTCTTTAAGATGTCCTCACTTAAATGTTTGTAACTGCCTAAAAGGAAGGCTTTACTTAAAGCGCTGAATAAACTTTTCAGTCTTATAAAACCTTATTGTGCTTCTGGACAGTGGTCATAAAACAGAAGAGAAGAAACAGATACCAGTCCACATTAATAGTTTGAACATGGCCTATATCAATCAAACTCACGAATGAAATGTACCAATACGTACACAGGAATGTAACGTGCCTACTGAGGGCAGTATCACCTGTCGCCATCCACCCTAATCATCTGAAAACAACGGTAATGATCTTTTATTTAAGCAAAGATCCAAATGACCGATTGAAGAGGTTCTGTTTTATGGAAAGACTGCTGCCTTAAGAACTGTTTTAAAGTGAGCAGGGGCTACTGAAACTCTTTTCTTAGCCTCTCTGGGCATTTATATACACACATTTTCACGCTTGACATGATTAATTGAGTCTGCTCCACATGTGAGCTGACGTGCACAGCACTGCATCGCTTGCAGCTGTATAAACAGCAAAATGCGCGTCAGCGTGGAATAAATGGTGGTGGTGCACTTTTGAACTAAAACACCTTCAAAAGCGCTTTTCAAAGCACCCAGCACTGGAGCACTGGCATGCGTAAACATGTCCTTTGTGGCAGTCCTGAAGTTCACAGCAGAGGAAGAACAATGAATTTGGGGAAGATAATTGCACAATATTTTCAATAGTAACATTCTTCCAGCCTGTGTAGATCACATTACCTTGAACACTTGCATACAGTTTTCATGTAAGTGTTTTAGAAGGATAAATAACTTCAATATCTTCAAATTTTAACTATCCTTTTAAAATGATATTTACAGTACTTGCCTCCTTGAATGTTTTCAGCCTTTCCAGTGTTTTCTGGCGTTCCTGGCTTATCCAGGCTTTCTTCTTTTTCTCTTCCTCTTTCTTTGTCTCTCGTTTCTACATTTAAAGACAAGTGAGTAAGCTTTGGGCAGGCAGAACCATGGCTGGCAGGCTCTGCAAGTTTGCCTTTGGTACTCACGATCTGTATGTTGTGATGCTGCTGGTAGCGTTTTATGCTTTCCTGGGCCTCCTGAAGTCGAAGCTGGTGGCTCTCTTCACATTGCTCCTGATGGAATAATAAAATTCAAACAACTCCCAATTAGCTTGTCAAAGTGTGCATGAAAACTATGCTCTGAAAAGCAGCTGCAAGGTTTTGCCCTGCCAAAGAAGCATCCTAAGTTCAGGAGGTACAGAATGGGACTAGAAATTTGACAGCCGCAGGAATCTTTCCACAGGCTTTGGGCATTAGCTCTGGATTGTGATGTCGTCTACCCTAGACTGGCACATGGGGCTACAGAAGAAGCAGACAACTTTGCGGAGTGCAGGATTGCCTTGTACTGCTTCTCATCCCTATGGTCCATTTAGGACAACAGCTAAAGAAGCTGTATCTAACTGTCCACAGCCAGGCAGATGGTGGCTGAGATGTGAGGGAGAGAGGGGAACTGAAAGGTACCAGGCTCCTCCATTCAATACTCCAAATGTCTTATTTATAAAATTAGAGACAGCACACGCACACACAGCATGGTAAATACTTCCCAGTAGAATACTTGCCATCAGTAATGAAATGCTTCAGAGAAGCTGCAAGTTTCATTACTTTCTGCCCAAATCATTACCCAAGTCATTTTTGTCATTCTACAGATGCAGGTTTTTTATCTAGAAGGTTGGGTTAGGCATTTGCAAATCACCTAGTACTTGGCTTCCACATTAACTAACCAATAGATTGCTACTGAGTGAATGAAAATTCAAAGCAGAAGAACCAATCATGGGAGACAGTGATTCAGGAAGTATCACTAGCAAGAGTCTGGTGGTAGCTACTGGAAGTTCCAAGGGTAGAGGCGTTTGTTTGGAGCTGAGCAAACATATGCCACACTCTGTTCTCTGCATTTGGGTCTGAGATAGCATGGATATAAAGCAACTGAATGTGCAGAGCTTGCTGGAAAGGACTGTGAGGCTTGATTTATACACGTTTCCAGTTTGTGGTGCTCACTGTAACTAATGCAAATGGAAAATAAAGCACAAAAACCCCATAAGCTGAAGAGGCCAGAGAGAAAGCTGTAGTAGCAAAAGCTTTCTATCACCCCACACAAAGATAAAGTATAACAGATCACCATGCTGTCCTTGTTGTACCTGCAGCCTTTTGCATTTTGAGGCAG